GTTGAATAACATAACATTTTATAAAGATAATAATTAAGTATTCTGTTAGAACTCAATGATTATCCTAATTATATTTTAGATTTTTTATATTTAAAATTAGATGTTTATCATGTATTTGATTGTGTTTATCTACAGTTAGTTATACGAATTCAGATATGGGATGAAATCGGATATGGATGAAATCTGGTTTAAGAGTTTTTAAGAGTTTTAAGAGTTTTTAAGAGTTTTAAGAGTTTTTAAGAGTTAACCAAATGCTTTATAATATAGTATAGATATAGATTACATGATTTGGAACAAAAATTCTCAACACGTATTAGTCATATATAATAAATAATTCACAAATAATATTATTTAAATACTTAATAACATAGTATAAATAATTTAGTTCTATAAAATTGAGTTGATTGGAATATCGAATAAATAAAGTAATAGTTCATATTATCGAAACTAGGATTCTTGCATTTTAGTGAACCACATATAGTCCTATGTTACTAAAGGGCTTTTGGCCTAGCGGTATCGTAGTCATTGGATTTCTTGGAGGTCAGGGGTTTAAATCTCACCATAGATGAAAAGGGTGTGTGAGTTTATTTGTTGCATTTGCCGTATTATATACTTCAAAAAAAAATAGCCTTATGTTTGATAAAGTAACTGATAAGTTAACTCATAGTTGATAGTTTGATAAGCTAACTAGTAGCTATACGTTAGCTCTGAGAGTTGATAAACTAACTGATTAACAAATCATGTTTAACAAGACTAACTAACGAGAATGTAAAAAGACCAAAAAGGGTATATTAAAGAAATAATCATTTATAATATTTTAAAATATACTTAAAACAAATTTCTAACAATATAATAAATTAACTAATACAAACAAGATGTTAAAAAATTAAAAAAAAGTAATATATTAATTAAAGTAATTTCAAATTGATTATTATATATATTATAACTAGTTGTGTATCCGAGCAACGCGGCCATGAATTTTAACAATTTTGAAGTTTCACTGGTTTTATTAGAGAAGATTTAACGATGATATAAATTACACTTGGTCTTTACATATTAATACAATTTGAATAGATAAGAGTTATGGTTCCAATTACAGTTTATCGATGAAAAAAATTGTAAGACAGTTTAAAATCCAACATATTTAAACGACTCCACAAATATGTTCAATTTACACCAAGAGCAAAGAATCAAGAGAGCGAGACCGAGAGTTCTAGAGCAATTGAATGAGAAATGAATGGGAGATCTTTCAATAACTCATGGTGAATATCAATTTGAATCTCACATTGGGGGATGAGGAGAAAACATAGAGATATGAAAAGGTGAAGACATGAGTGAAAGGTGTCAAAAGTATTTTGAGAACATGAAAATAAAAAGTAATAATATGCATCGATAACTTGTACTATTTGTTATTTAATTGTAGATTAAGAGATTTTAAGACTAAATACATAAAGTAATAGTACTTAATGCATTATGAGTTGTTTTTAAAACTTTTAAAACTTTGTGCATAAATGTATAGTACTTCGTGCATTAAAAATTGTTTTTAAGGCTTTTGAAAAATCTGGTTTATAGGATAGCATAGATTTGAATCTCACATTGAGGGATGAGGAGAAGACATAGAGGTATGAGAAGATAAAGACATGAGTGAAATGTGTCAAAAGATCTTGGAAACATAAAAAGAAAAAGTAATAATATGCACTGATAACTTGTACTATTTGTTATTTTAATTGTAGATTAAAAGATTTTAAGACTAAATGCATAAAGTAGTAGTACTTAATGCATTATGAGTTGTTTTTAAGACTTTGTACATACATGTATAATACTTTATACAATTAAAATTGTTTTTAAGACTTTTGAAAAATCTGGTTTATATGATAGTATAGATATCTGAGTTTGTTAAAATAAATTTTATAAAAAATATATTATTTATGATTTTRAATAAYCATKACATATAATATGAATAAAAATAAAAATGGTMTACYTYAMATATCYTAATTAATTAATATTTTTTTTAAAATATAATTAATAATTAAATTAGGTATTTTGTAAAAATTATTTAGCATGTTTTGATCATCTATGAAATAAAATAAGTATAATCTAATTTTTATATAACTTAAATAAACATTATTACAATTGTTATATTTGAGTTTTGATAACTAAATATATTTAATAATAAAAAAAGTAACAATATGATAAATAATTATTGTAAATGATTAATAAATAATATTAATTTATAATTGTGTATAATTAATAATTAATTTTCAATTTAAATTAATATTTAAATTTTATTATTATTTATTTATAATTAATAGTAATAAATAATAACTAATACTAATGAGAGTTATAATTGGAAAAGTGTCAATAAACTACCAAAACGCTACTTCAAGTAGCGTTTCAATAAGCTAGTTTATGTGTATTCAAACATGTACCTAGAAAATAAGTTACCTTATAAGTTAGCTTATTTTTGCCAAATAATGCCTATGTTTGATCCGATGCCAAATAATAGGAGTTGCTTGTTTCCAAAGTTGTTACGTGAACTGCAGAAAGGGGGTTGTCAATTGTTGAAAGCAAAGCAAAGAGATCCTAGGGGCCCTAGAGAACAACAAAGAAAATCCTCAATGACCTTGCAGGACTTGAACCGACAACAGAGGTTTTTCCTAGAAGAATTTTCCCTTCTCACCTAATTTCTATCATTTTTTTTTCCTTATTGGTAAATGCTTACCAGGCTTAGCGGTAGATGCACTTTTTCAGCACATACTTCTAATTCATCCATTCTATGATCTGACCCGACACAAAAATTCGGATGTTCGTTTACTGAACACTTATGTGATTACCAGCCAGAGTCACCACCCTCCCTTACATTATCAGGTAACATTCTCTGTCATCAAAATGGATTATTGGTAAGCATTTCTTACCCGGTAACCGCTAAACCAATAGAATTCTAAGTCCTTACTATACCTGTTACCAACTAAGATTCTTGATCTTTGTTATGTTCACTCAGTAAAGCAAGAAACAACAGTAGTATTTTGTTTTGCTTAAGGAAAGAATTTGCAACTTTTACTGATCCAAATATGTATTGATTGCAGAACATGAAAATGCAGTATGCACCAGCTGGGCATCAACTTCATTCATTAATGGCTGACAGATGTGATAAAGTGTGGCCTTGATGATTCTGTGCTGGAATTATGCAATAAGAATTCACACACCAAGATTTACATCTACTGTGCTGTGCATCAGCATTAAGAGTTATTTGTTTCCATTGTTCTTAAGATATGTCATTCCACTCTTTTGGTAACTACTGTTTTCTTGGTAAAAATTGAAACAGGAATCACTTTTTCCCCTCTCAAACAAGAGGTATTCAGCTGCCAAAATCTCCAACCACCCACAAGTTGGAAAGGAGGTGTTGTTCATAGAAATCCAATAACATTCAATAAAGGTTACAGGCTTCCAGCCCTTCTCTTCAATCAATGGTGGTAGCAGCTTATTATAGAAACAAACATATATGTACTTTAAACTCGAAAAATTGCAAGCACAAAGAGACTTAGGGTCCGTTTGTTAGCAGTTTAATGAGCTCAATAGGACTCACAGCTTATTCAGTCAGCTATTCATGACTGTTTGATAGTGGCTTATTAAATAAGAGACTGTTTGGCAGTTATTGAATGATTTGGCAGAATGATTAAGTGGTAAGAATAATTAAGAGGCTCCCATGATATAATGCAAAATGAAATATAATTCTTTAGTAATAGTTTACAATGAAATTAGGGCGCTTAATGGTTAAGGGAGGCTCAGGATACAAAATCATTCAAAAGGTTTTAGAATCATCAAGGGACAGATTTTTTTTTGGGCAAACAAGATTCACCTCTTAACGATTCAGATGTTGCCTCTTAATGGAACTATTAAGAGGTAAACAAACAACCCTTAAGCTTCTAGCGAGAGCTTTATGCAGAAAGCCAAGTTTTTTCCAAACCTGTCCCTCCCAATTAAAGAACACACTCCTTCCATATATGAAAAAACTCTCCCAAACAAAAACATTTTCAATCTATACAAACAAATTAATCTACACAGACAGGTTTATACATACTAGACTCAGATGGAAAACCAACCAAAGATTTCCTTAATCCTATTTAGGATAGACTGAGCTTGACTAAAGGAAGGTTTAAAGCTGCAGAAAGAACTCCACATTTATAAATTGATGTATAAATTTATTAGTGCTCACTTAAAATTTACTTAAACTTTATAATCTTGTATGATTAAAACCTAAATGGATGACTTGATGATGCAACTTTATGCACATAGTAAAAACACATGTCATTATGGTACAAAACAGAACTAGATATGTAAAATGTAACATCACATAAAATTTAATCAAATGTATTTCAAACAAAATATGGAAGTTGAAAAATTACTATACAACATGATAATGTAAACAGATTATCAGTTAACCATCTATAAGATTCAAGGTTCCATATAATAGGATAACAATATAGCATAGTGTTTCAGGAGTTATATCATATAAGTAGTTTAAAACAAATAATATAAGCCCTGAGGTTGGTTTAGCACCAATCATTTGCCACCTATCGCAGCATGAAACAAGAGGTCTTAGTCCGTTGGGTTGTATTGATCTTTATTACGGCTCATACAACCATATAACCACATATATATATATATATATATATATATATATATACACACACGCACTATATCGCATCATGAACACACAAGGTGTTAGTTGATTTCATTGGGTTGTATTGATCTTTACTGTGACTCATCTAACCTTATAACCATGTATCCCCATATATATTGATATGTAGGCACAAAACCAAGCCCCGGGATGCACAAAATGGTTCATGGGCGGGTGCTTTTACGTGCACCTGCACATATTTCTCCAAGAATTACCTCTAAAACCGCCTAGCCCCTTAATTTTTTTCTAAGAATCAGCTGCTAATCGAAATGGTGAAGCCAATTAAGCGGCTCGCTGCCTTTGGATTTACAAACTTACTCCTAGCAATTAGGCAGTGCATATGTTCATAAAACAATCAGCATCCAAGATAATATATCACATAAATTATCAATAAACTGAAAAAAAAAGAACAGATTTATTCAATGCTACATTTGGAACAAAGCACATATAATGCATACTAAAAACTATACAAAATGAACCAGAATTGTCAGGCAATGAAGATGACACTTTAATGATCAAGAGCTCTGTTCTTCAACAGAAGCTACAATTCCCATTGCACAAGAAACATGATATTGTTATCAAGGTTCCAAATTCTATCCACTACTGCTGCACTACTGCTAGAGCAAATTATTAACAAAAAAGCTACGAATTGAAAGCATTTTGAAGGTAAACTCAATGAAAAATACATGTTCTTACTGACCTAAAATAATAGAATGAAGGTCCATTAACTCTTGTTTAGGATTCTGGTGTTGGCATTCTCTTTATCTTCTTGTTCTTCTTCTCCATTACTGTTTTCGAAAACGAATCCACTAGCCTCTGCTGCGATTCAAGGATCATTTCTGTACGTTTCATTTCCATTTTCATTCGCATTGATTCAAGCTCCCTTGCCATGTCCATCTTCATCCTCTCCATCTTTACAAACCCATCTCCTAACTTCTGAATGGCTGCCACCATTTCATCCATCAGATGACTACCATTGTTCTCCATGTCCTCCCTCCTCTTCATCCCTCCACCGCCACCAACATTTCTATCCTTTTCAGTTCCAAAAGCTTCCTTCATATACCCATCTCTCGAACCCTTACCTGACCCGTAATGTGGGTTCATAGACGGAGGGTAGTCGTCAAATGATCTATTACTATTGTATAGGTTTAATGCGGACGGTGGTGGTGGTGGCACGGCGGCAATATTTGGGATTTTAATCCGAACCCCGTTTCCGTTTCCGTTTCCATTTCCATTACCAATCGAGCCCTGATACCGCCGATTGAGGGGGAGAGCGATTGCTTGTTTGATTCCTTTAGGATATAACAACAAATCGTCTTCATTCTCATCGCCTCGTCCATCTTCTTCCTCTTCGTCTTGATTGATGGGATCTACGGATGGGTCAGAAGAAGAAGACCCTAATTCCATCGAATCCATTCGTTTAAAGTGAACCCATGAGGAGGGATACCGGTGGCCCCTTGGGGTGTTTCCGATGCGTTGGATCTCCGCACGATAACGTTTTCTCAGCTTCTCCATCTTGTGACGACACTGAATCGAGGTTTTCGGTGGGTTACCTAACGGGCACCGCGCCGCGACCCCATCGGCGACCTCTTGCCAGTGGGAGGCGCGTAGGTTTCCTCGCCGGAGGGAATACCACTTATCACGATACGCATCGATCAACGCCACAGTCTCGTCGTGCGACCAGCAGGGGGGAGGCAGGCGACGGGAGGCCGCCGTCGATGTGGGTTGTTGGGCAACGAGTGCGTTTGATGGTTCCTGAGGAGAAGAAGGCGAATTGGAGCTGGCCATGGCGATTGGTTAAGACCCAAGTTAGATGTGGAGGATGTGAGAGAAAAAAGAGGGAGGCGGTGGGTGGTGGTGGTGGGAGGAGGAGGCATAATGAAATGTTGGCGTTAGGTGGAGAGATGATAAAGGTAGGGTGGAGGGGCATGCGGCTGACTTGGGGATCTAGCGGTGAGGTGGTGGAGAAGTCTAACCTGCGCCGTGCTTAAAATGCGCAGGGAGGGCAGGATGAGTAAAAACAAACCCAAAGGGAGATGACGTGACCACCGCCAGTTTTTACTATTGGGTGGTTGACCACCGCACCGCCTGAGCAGCCGGGGGGGTTGGGCGGCGGTGGAGGGGTCGTTTTCTTGGTTATATTTTGTAATTGCCCTCATTTGAAGCAAAATTAAAGAACCCCCCATCCCCATGTGACCTCAACCCCAAAACCTACTACTTTTTTTTGTAGACCCAACTCACATCTTATACCTTATTATCTTCACATAATATTTATTAAAAAAACATATATTATAAAACATTTAACAAAAAATTCTAACAACCATTTTTTATATTTTAAAAAAATATAAAGTATTAGATATTGATGCATATTACTTAAAATTTAAGATTACAAGTAAATTATGTACAAATACAAATTATTAAAGCTTCATGTTTGAATTCGTGTAAAACATAATTAAATAGATGATAAACATCTCATTTTAAAATATAAAAAATCTAAAATATAATTAGAATAATTATTGAGTTCTAAAAATAATTAATTATTGTCTTTATAAAAAAATTATATTATTAAAACAAATATAAATTACTTCGTTATTGAACCTAATTAAATTATAATAAAAAAATTGAATTGAAAAATTACACAAAAGTGATGAATTTTAAATAAGTTAATTTGAAACTAATATCGATATATTTTTATCAAATTCTTATGATATCTTCAAATTTATATTTTATTCAAAAAGTAAAAACAATAGCATTTTATCAAAATCAAATAAGATCATATTATAACATCAACCGAGATAAAAAAAATAAAACGAAATATTAAAATCAAGATGTATCTCGCTGCATTGCGTGAATATCCTTCTAATATATATATAATTCATCTATATTATAACCAAACAACTTATATTATAACATAAAAAACTCTTCCTTTCCTATTGATTTTCTAGTGACTCCACCTCCACCACCACCTCCTCCTTAAAACGTCCTTTCCTTCAATTCCACTACCACAACACCACCACCACCATTAACACCATTGCGGCCATCGAACACCACCACATCTCCCATCCATCGAACACCACCATTGTTCATCGCCCATCAAATTAGTCCATTGACAGCAGCGAGCACCGTTGTCGTTTGTCCATTTTCCAGCAACAATAGATCTGCATGTCAATGATCTGTGTTCTTATGAATTTGCATTTATGTCTCGTGATTTGGATCAGGGTTTTGATTTGGTTTAGAATTTTTAGTTTCATTTAGAATTTGAAGTTTATTAATAGATTACGATCTATAAAATGATTCAATTTATGAACTTGAAACTGGAGATTGTTTATGCCAGCTCTTCGATATGGATATGTTTCTTGTGGTGTTTGCATTTGTGTTAAGATTTGTTTCTGCTTCTTTGAGAAATGTTATTTATGTGTTGTGATATGTTTTTGTTGTCTTAGTGTCCATGTTATGGTTCGAAGTTTGTTAACAATTAGTATTTGAAAAGATGGTCTTAATGGTAGTTGATGGTGGTCGACAGTGTTTCTAGTTATAGGCATCGCCTATGAAGGGGAGGGGTGGGGTGTAGTGTACTATGGGATGTATTAATTGGTTCTACACTTGATTTAAACATGTATATATTGAAATTTGTTTAATAAAAAGGTAACGAAAAATCCCCAGCTCACCCTCGACTTAACATACATTTAAATGGTGTTAAGTGTGAGGGACCATTTTCAAAACCAAAATGCAAAATTTAGGGGGTGTTTGAGATTGCTTATAAAAACTGTTTTTTAATTTATTTCAGTTTGACACCGGTGATAAGTTGTTTTATGGTGTTTGGATAAGAAAAAAAAAAACTGCTTTTACCGGTGCCAACCGGTAATAAGTTGTTTTTGATAAGTTAATCATTCATGACTTATGAAAAACGGTTTATTACCAGTTTACAATTTTAACCATGTTTTATTTAACTCTGATTTAATACCACATAAGTTAATAAGCACTTTTACAAAAAAAACATAAGTTGTTGTAAATAAGCAATCCCAAACACCCCTTAGTAACTTATCTTGTAGCTTTTACGTTTTAGGTATGGGATTCAGATTTTTGAACATTACCACATGGATTAATATTGTAGTTTACTCTATTATATGTACTCATATATAGCGACATAATCAAATGAGAACTTGATAGTTTGTGATAACTATGAGATCCAATATGAGCTATTCATTTGAGATAACTAGAAGCGTACTCGCGCAATGCAGCGAGATACATCGTGTTTTTAATATTTCATTTTATTTTTTATCTCAGTCGATGTTATAATATGGCTTTATGTGATTTTGAGAAAGCGATGATGTTTTTATTTTTGAATAAAATATATGTTTGACGATATCATAAAA